ATATATAGGTGGATGTCCAGTTGTTGGCATCTTTTTCAAGGTCCAATTGGAAGCATCCAGCAAGAGGTCTACGCATAGTGTGGACTACTAAAGCCGGATTCAGCGTATTCATTAAAAATATTTTATCATAAAAACTAAAAAGTGATATCAACGGTAGGAAATTGATCAAAGGTTTAGTGGTGTGGGGTCAATACAAAATAAAGAAAAGAAAAGAATCCCATGTGACTTGTGGGGTGAGAGTTTGACGCAGCTTCCGGTGTCCGGTAAAGGAGGAACTCCTGGACCCATAACCCCACCTCTTCACTCAATGACTTTTGCATTAAAAGCTCTTAGAGGTCAACTCTACCTCACTGTCCCCAACTAACCTCTGTATTTCTCTCTCCCCATTTTACCCAGTCATTAACGCAACGGCCTTTTGACCTTTATCTCTCATAATTTCACACGCTCTCCAACCGGTTTATCCCGTTTACTTTACCCCACATCAAAGATGTAGTCAACATCTTGACAAAATAGACCACGTGGATGGTTATTACTGGCAAATAAGTTTGACGGCAGGATGTTCACAAGCGACAGGCCTGTCATTTTGATGCCTTGCGAATTGCTATAGGGCATCAGTTTGACTCGAATCCAATAAGACCCCCTCTTTTTCTCATCATCTTTAGCATTCTTTCTTTTACTTTTAATTTTTTTAATTTTTAAATATCTCTTCTTTTGCTTTCTTTCATAATCATTTTTTCTTCTCCTTGTAAAACAAGCCCGGCCTGTAACTATAAAGATTCAAATATACCCTTTTGCTATTTTCAGTGCATGGTGTTAAAAGAAATGGCTGTGGAGCTTATGATGGGTTATGGTTGCGCTGATGGTTTTGCAGCATCAACCCAAATGGAAGAGAGTGCTGTACGGGAAGCTGCATCTGCTGGTATGCAGAGCATTGGTGAGTTCATCAGATTATTGTCTCGAAATCAAGTCCCCGAACAACATTTTCCAGAAGCCTCCTCTTCTTCAAGTCTTGAACCTGACAAAGAAATCAAGGTTGCTGCCGAAGTGGCTGTAAACAATTTTAAGAGAGTTATTTCTTTACTGGATCGACCAAGGACTGGCCACGCTAGATTCAGAAGAGCACCTTTGAGTCCTCCACCTGTTATTCCTCAGAAAGAACAAAAACAAGTTCCAGAACCGGGGCCATCTGTTCTATCTATTAATCATCAATCAAACGAACAAGGTTCTGCTTTTAAGGTCTATTGTCCTACACCAATTCATCGTTTGCCTCCTTTACCTCATAATCACCACCCACATCAGATTCATAAGACTCCTTCTGTGGCGGTGACCAAGACTGTGTATACAGAGAGAAGTGATGCGCCAACTACTATCAATTTTTCACCTTCAACTTCTTTCATTTCCTCGCTTACTGGGGATACTGATAGCATACAGCCTTCTTTTTCCTCTGGATTTCAATTCACTACTCCTTCACATGTTTCATCAGTTGGTAAGCCGCCTTTATCTTCGTCTTCACTTAAAAGGAAGTGCAATTCCATGGATGATGCTGCTCTAAAGTGTGGTTCATCTTCTGGCCGCTGCCATTGCTCCAAGAAAAGGTCAGTCATCTTAATCCTTTATTTGTTTCATTGTGTTCTTTTTTTTCTCAATAAATGTTGATTCATCTGATTTGATGTTATGTTTTATATGAATTAATTAAGCAGGAAATCAAGGGTTAAGAGAGTTGTTAGAGTCCCTGCGATTAGCTCCAAGATGGCTGATATTCCACCTGATGATTTCTCTTGGAGAAAGTATGGCCAGAAACCCATCAAAGGTTCCCCTCATCCAAGGTATGTGTGTGTTTTGAACCGTTTGATCACGTCCTCTGCTTCCTTGCTCTTATCGTTTTTTTAGATATAATCGTTTTTTACTAGAACTCCCATACAACGAATGATGCCATTCAGCATTAATTGTTTTTGTCCAGAGTCATTCGCAGTTGTCATGGTCCTAGGCCCTTTGTGGGGCAGATGAATTTTGACTTTTTTTCTGCAAGCTGAGTTAACTCAATTTTTTTTGTTAAAGTGAGTCAATAACTCAGTCCTGAGTTTAATTGTTCGTTTGTTCATACGATTTCAGGGGATATTACAAATGTAGTAGTGTTAGAGGATGCCCAGCACGTAAACATGTAGAACGCGCACTTGACGATCCAATGATGCTGATTGTGACATACGAAGGTGATCACAATCACTCTGTGGCAATACATGATGCGCCTGCTGCTATGGTGTTGGAATCGTCTTAGTCAACTCATCAAAGGGCCAAGATGAGAAATTTGAAAATTGAATCACAACCCCTCCAAAAGTGGGAAATTGGAGTAGATGAAGCAATCACTACCGTGCTCAGATAGTCAACGAAGATGCTGGGCTTTGTCTTCAAGAAAGAAAGAAGATTGATTATTAGGTTACCTAGCGCTGTTTAAAAAAACCAATATAGGATTCCTTGTTTCTGGTTTCTCTCTTTTTGTTGAAGACTTTGTTAAAAAGGAAAAAGAAATAGGAAAGCGTAGAAATTGTTTGATTTTGTGGGAGTTGAATCTTGCAAACACAAGTAGTGGGTTTTTTTCTATAATTATTTTATTTCTTAATGCTCTTATACTCAACTCTCAGATCAGATGGAATTTTGCTTTTAATATATATGGTGGTGGATCTTGCTTTAATTTATTCCAATTATTTTTATGGGAATATGGGTTGCGGTCAATAGCCACAGAGGAATGTTCATTTCTTTAATTAGGAGATGTGTCGTTGACCTTTAATCCCTATTTTTATTATGATTAAAGAGATTTTGGTGGAGGTTGGGGTGTAGTCAGGTTTCAATTAGCCTAGAGATTTGGCAATGCAAAAGAATATCGATGTGAATTGTGATTGCCTATCTGTGACGGACTGACCCACCATGAATTTGGAATAAATGGGCAAAGTCAAAAGTGGCCGGTTTGGTTTATGATAATCTGTCCCCACTTGTATCTTTTTTCTAATTTTAAATTTGTTAGAGAACCTCTAATTTTTGTCCAATCTGCCTTGTGCCACGATACCCCAAGGATTGTGATGCTCTGTTGCTGGATTCATGCGTAAGAAATTTAAAGAGTTGAAAATTTTGTTTATCACTTTATCTGTTTTTTTTTTTCTTTTTCAAAACGAACATATGCTGGAGTTTACTTTATATATTTAACGACTTTTAACGGGATGCTCTGCAAGATTGGATCTATATCGGTAGACCTTGGATGAATATGGTTGTTTCTTTCTGTTCAATTTTAGTGCAAGAGAATGACATATTTGAAGAAGTCAAATACTAATTTACTCTCGTGCTTAAGAATATTTCTGTCCTCTCCCATTTTTACAATGGAGTAATACTACATTTACAAATATTTCTATATAATGAGTTTGACTTCTTTCTTTAATTTTTTATCACATTACTTTATATGAAAATCTTTATAAGATTTGTTTGTAAGTGTAATATTATCGTACAACATTCATGGCTTTATTTTCCATAACTCTATTACCTTGACCTTGGCACGGCATATGTGAGGTTTGCTAGTAAATGACAACTCAACTACCCTATTACTGCACCTTAATCAATACCCAGAGGTTGCTAATTGCTAAATTTCAATTTATCTGTGATTTTAGTTTGAATTTTGGAAACTGCTTAGCCGAGTGTCTTATACTTCTTTACAAACACCTCTATTATTCATTTTTTCTGCTGTTTGTCGTAAACGAAAATTCTCCACGTTATAGTTTGCGGATTTCTAAAACATGACAATTACCATCTTCAGGCCCAAAACGAAATTCACTGTAGTGAGATTAGTGGTGCAGTGCAGTCATGTCTAGTCCAAGTTCAAATTACCCTAGAGAAATGTTGAAGCATATAATGTAATGGGCTATTTCAAAGTTGAGGTAAAGTTTTAACATGACATTAGCATTGGACTAGTCGGGCATGGGCAGTTCATAGTTTGCAGGCCCATATTTAGGGATGTGAAACTTACCCACCAACTAACAGAAGATGCTCTTAAACAATGATTTAGGATTTTCACCTGGGCTTTTATCAGATATAAACACAAAATTGTCATGAGATTCAGTAATTAATGAAAGAATAATACTACTTTTATAAAATATGTATACAAATAATATATCATATCATGATTAGGAGTATACAAACTTTCTAAGAATAATATTAATCTAAAACAAAACTAAAAATATCATAAGCTAAAATATATAACCTTTTCAATTCTCAAACAATCTTCTGATACCGTTTTAGATCTATGATAATATTGCTTAAACCACTTAAAAGAATTCCACCAATGAATTTTAAGTATTCAAAGTTGTCTTAAAATTTGATAGATTTGCTGCAGGACACGCCGTCTTCCAAACTAAAACAAGTAGTAGGAGATTTTACCTAACCTTATTTTGATAGTTGAGCCAATGCAGTTGCCTCCTCTTTTGCCTGTTGTAGATATAATTGGTATAATTATTAGAATAATAAAATGTCTGACGTTAACTTAACAATGCATTTCCTCCTAATTAAAAAATTCATTTAATATTAATTGGCACATTCTTACAACTTTACATGCAGGAAAAGTGACTTTACAGAAGAATTATAAAACATAAAATTGAGTGAAGACGACTGCAGTATGTCGCTTTGATGCTAGCTGGAAACAATGTTGGATTGCAGCAGCCGTCATTAGAAAATGGAAATTGGAATCCCAGTGGCTAAAACGACTTTATAATGTACCCAAAACAGTATCCCTCCAATCACTTGATAACATTAGAGAAAACAATTATGGGTTCTTTTAGTTCCTTAAACCGTAAATTTACAACTTTGTTCTAATAAAGTGTTAGGATTTAAGCTCATAAATATTGTTATAATTGGAAAAGGAAAAAAAAAGAGGAATTATTTGGTCAACTCCTTGTGATACTCAGAAGTTATGATTATAAAAACCTAAGCGCAGAAGATATATAGAAATATATACAGAATGCCATTCGAGATGGTTCTGAATGTAGCACTACTCCCTTTTTGTTATTCTTGCTTTAGTATTTAAGTTTCTCCTGGCATTAGCTATTGTTTGGTCATCTCTTTATGCCTTCAAGAAGACAAGCACTACAGAGACAGATACAATGAGAACAAGTGTCATTGATATTTCACCTCTCTACTACGTTCTCTTAGCTTTTCTAATTGTCCACACTATAGCTCATCAGACGACCAACAAAGAAACACTAGAATTTGTTATTCATGACAAAGGTAAAGGTCCAAGAAAAGGCTGCAATTATAAAGATCATCAAAATATACCCATTACACTGCAATGTCCACAGCCAGGAAATTCTCTTGCGTTACCACCTCTGCCTGATCTCGAGCAAGAAGTCTTACAATTTGCTGATCAAAGACTCGCCGTGGTGTACCCAGTAATCCAAAAATTCAAGTCCATAATTGCATCCGATCCTCTTGGCATCACAAAAACTTGGGTAGGCTCAGATATATGCAGTTATAAAGGGTTCTTTTGCGAGAGCCCCCCAGACAACAAAACTGCTATAGCTGTTGCGTCCATTGACTTCAACGGATTCCAACTTGGCGCCCCTGCTCTTGATGGCTTTCTTGATCAGCTACCAGATATTGCGCTCTTCCATGCAAATTCCAATAAATTTGCTGGTACTATCTCGCCTAAAATTGCCAATCTTCCCTATCTCTACGAGCTTGACATAAGCAACAACCAATTTTCAGGTCCATTTCCTACTGCTGTTCTTGGCATGAGTGGTCTAGAATTCTTGGACATTCGGTTCAATTACTTTAGTGGTGCAGTCCCTCCTCAAATATTTACACTAAATCTTGACTGTCTATTCATTAACAACAACAATTTCATGCAGAAGTTGCCTGATAATATAGGCAGCACTCATATTCTTTTCCTCACCTTGGCCAATAATAAATTTAATGGTCCACTTCCAAGAAGCATTTTCAAATCTTTGTCCGATTTAACTGAGGTTCTACTCTTAAACAACCAGCTGACAGGTTGTTTACCCTATGAGATAGGGTTCCTTAAAGAGGCTACAGTGGTTGATCTTGGGAACAATCAGTTAACAGGTCCGTTGCCATTCTCATTGGCTTGTATAGAGAAGGTGGAGCAGTTCAACTTTGCAAATAATCTTCTGTTTGGTAAGGTGCCAGAGGTGGTGTGTGAGCTAGGTAATCTGGTGAATTTCTCTTTGTCGGATAATTATTTTACAAATGTGGGACCTTTCTGTAGAATTTTGATCGAAAGAGGAGTGCTGGATGTCAGGAACAACTGTATTCCTGATCTTCCTTTTCAAAGATCAATTGTTGAATGTGCAGAGTTCTTTGCTTACCCAAAATTCTGTTCCCATATGTGGTCTTACGCTTATATTCCTTGTATGCCCTATATTCCAGAAATGGCTCCCTCACCTTGACTCTCAATTTGCTCATGCAATGCATTGCTCTGGATATATATATATTTTTTTAAATTGTAATTAAAGTTTTCACGGTATTGTAGGGATTATATGAAATGCTATGTTCTTGTAATAATGATATTCATCTCAGACATTCTGGTTGACAGTTAGGCTTTGAAAATAGCATGTTTCAGTTGGAGATGGATATGTTAAATTACCAGCAGAACGACCTCCCTTAGCCTTAATATTTTGTTCATTTTAATTGGAAAGAAGTAAACCCAAATGGTCTTGTATTGGTAAAATTTGCCTATTCAACTCTGCCCAAAAGTTGAAACCATGCAAATTCAACATGGGATCCTTAATTTTGGAACGGTAAATAAGAAACTTCGGGCCCACGCAGTTCCTTCTGATTAACAAATACAAATTATGAGCTGAAAAATGGTGTCCAATCAGCTATTGAAATTAATGCTAGTACTAAGATGAAATTATTATATTAAATAATGACTTGTCCAGTAACCCTGGTTTCCAATATTGTGCATCACATGATTGTTCGTTGGATTCTTCTCAGTTATTATTAAAATGTCTTTCAGTTCGTTTCTCATTGAAGCTGCAGCAACACCCTTGAGTGGTTGAACAGGTGTAGTAATGGCAGGATGGTCTAATAGGAATTCATCTGTCGTTGTATTTGCATTCTTGCAGCCGCCAACTATCCCCGTCATCTCATACTATTTAGTCCAACTAAAAACTATGTTTAATGTTTCAATATTTAGGTTGTTTTTTTTTTTTTTTTTTTTTTTAACCCTTTTTTCCAAAGACAAGAAAATGCATATTGTCGAATCTAATCAGAAGCCAAAAAAAGATGGTTGGCTGCTTTCTCAAAGACTACGGTCCCAGAATTTGTTCCCGGACAGACAGTGATGATGATTTAGTAATAATACCTCCTTTCTACTATGAACCCAGAACCTGCAGGTCAAGGTCACTTTGTTAGGGCAATGCCCTCAATCTAACCCCCATATATATTTTTTTATATTGTGATATTGGTGATAGGCAATAAAGGTCCCAACTGAATCAGATGAAGGCAGACAATTAACTCAACTAACCCACTGAAATTGCTTCTATTGCTTTAACCATGTGGTCCAGCTAAAAAAGTGGCCATCTTATAATACATTATCAATTAAAAATCTGATTCATAGCTTTGTCACTGCTCACTGTTTCTGGCTTTATTTGGTTATGTTTTAAATGCTAATGGAGAGGTGCTGATACCAAGTGGAAGTTTTTCTATATTTCATGATAAGAATCAAGAATATTTGATTGGATAGCAGGCGGATTTGTGCTCTTTCTGATGCAATAAGCTCTTGCATTTTGATTTACTCTTGACAATTACGAAAAGTTGTTGACAGTATTCATCCAGAGCCCAGTTCTTTCATCACCAACTTACATCCACTCGTATTGGCGTTTGATCACCTCACATCGTCGTCACCCCTACGATTTTATTTAACACAATACACTTTTTTATGTTTGTTTTTCAGAAATTACTGATTTTAATGGCCAAAAGAGTCGGCAGGGATTGTAGATGTAAATGGTTATTTCCCAACTTTCTCGGGATATTTTGACGGGTGTAAGTGTTATTAACCCAAAATGAATTGAATAAAAATCAGATCCGTTTCGTGTGGGATAAATTTTTAACGCAATTTCATGGTATTTTCAGATATCCAAGAGCAATATTCATAGTGGCTTCATCGCGAACAAAAAGAAAACCTATGATGATGATCTTTTTATTAATGTGGTAGAAGGCCCACTAAAGCTTCACTCAAACTTAAACTAAATTATTACTCCAGACGGGAGCCCTTTTTGTGGGCTATATTCTTTGGGTTAAATTATTTGAGACTCATTGTCGTTACAATACTGAGAAGTTTGAGCCCCCCAATTTAGCTGAACTCGTCGGGCTATTTAGAAGTCATGAATTTAAAACTACGATATCTGCGTCGTTTGGGCTCAAGCCCAACTTTGTGCCCATATTACACATAAAATGGAATATTTTAACTTTAGTCTCAATCCAAGCGTCATTTTAATTTATTTCTTTATTTAGGAGTTCTAAAATCTAAACTATGATACTTTAATATAAAAATAACCGTTTATAAATTTCAGAGGAAGTCTCAGGTTTCATGGAATTATAATTTCAAGCATGGAAAGAGAATTACCCAGATTGCAAAATTTTAAAACATTTTTCTTATAAAATTTCAATTAACATCTTATCAAAATCCTTAAAGTCTGAATAATACACAAAGTTTTAATATATTTATAGAGCAAAAGACGTATTCCCACCCGAGGTTTAGAGAAATCCTAAGTTAATACCTTTGGTTGTATTTATTCCAAATTCTCACCCTTAAAGTAATGTTGTTTTCTTTATTTTAACAGATTCTCAACTTTTTAATGCACGTCAGCACGTTAATGCACTGACTTTTTCGTTGACTGAAGATGAGCCTGAGCTCATTTTAGCAAAAAGCGGCTTACGTGAATAGTGTCAAAGCTAGTGGTTTTCGGCTTTTTTTGACTGATTTTAAAATCTAAAATCACTTATGAGACTACCAGTGGACTCTCCACAACCTTCTATACAAAAATCATACATTCACTTGCTGACCCTACTCACCGCTTCTGATCACCTCCAATAGTCACTAACGATATTAGTTTAAGGGTGAGAATGTAAAATAAATACAATCAAGGAAATCACCTTGGGATTTTGTTGTTAAACCTTGGGTGGGAATATGTTCGTTTACTCTATATTTGTATGGGAAAGATCAATGGCACGAAAAGTGTGTAATTAGAAGAGGGAATTAATGAAAGTAGGAGAAAGTAAGCAAGTGTTGGAAACGTAGTTTCAAGTGGATAAAGCACCATGAATTAATTGACAGCAGTTAGGACTTAGGAGAACAAAGAGTGAGTTAAAGTTAAAAGCAAAGTGAGAGATGTTTATGTTAATATTACAATTTTATCCTTTAATTGGGGGCTAATGATCAATAAAACAGGGTCTAAAAATTACCAAATCACCGATGCATCCAACTGCTCAAAGCTGGGTCCAATTTTCATCATTTTTATTTTCTTAACATTAATACTAGCTGCATGCCTTATATGACTTTATGCTCTTTTATCATTGCAGCATAGTTAGATAAGCTTAAATAAAGATATAACATGGATCGAAGTTATGGATGTTCTGTTTTTGTTCTATGATCTTTACTTCAAGTGTCTCTGGCTGAGGCCAAGCTTTGTAATCGAAAATGACTTTTAGCTAATATGGGAGATTGGAAAACAATTGAGATGCCCTCTGAATAGTCAAATAATTTGGAGGTTGGAGTTGGATTGGACCCATCATCCATGTCATGACCTGCAGCTACAAAAGGGATTAAAATACCACCTCCATTTCTGCGGTTCTGCGCCTCTTTTGCTTAAGAGCCCACATATTACTTGCCTCTCAATTTGCAATAACTGTAAAAGCAGGAAGGATCATGTTTCTGGTGTAGTCAACGATTGTTCATAGCTGTTTGTGTTCGTGAAGTTTGTAATTGTAAAAGCTCCCGTCTTTCATTGAGTGGCAAGTATTTGGACAGACGCTTTAGGAACTATATAGCCCTCTCGCTTCAACATTAATCCTATGACTATGATTTATATCCTAACACTAAATTTAGTGATAAGCGTATTACACGTACTACATTACCAACTGTTACCTCACATGCCACCGTCTATAGGTCAAAAAGTTTACCCTACAGAGGGACAGGTGTGACACACAATTTGAAAAAATTGAAACAAAGCAAAAATGAAAGGCACAAGAGTGTGGGTCTTGCAGGGAAGAGCAGACGGTCCACAGCCTTTGCCTGGCTCGGCGGGACCCCATCTACCAATCACAAAAGATTATAGTAACCGTACATAATGAAGATTTTGCTATAAAATTTTGCCAACTTCTTTCCTTCACGTGATTCTGAGCTTGCAGTCCCGACATTTGCTCCTCAGTTCTTACATGCTTTGTCATCTTCTCAATATTTCCATCACTTTTCTAGTTTTCTTTACTCTCTTAATCTTTCCCTTTCTTTCAAGTCTATGCCTTATCAGGGAATGAAAATGGAGCAATCACATTCACAGTACTCATGCAACAAAATGAACTAAGAAGAAGGAGGAGAGACCGAGAGAGCCAGCCAGCCAGTTAAGGGTTTTCTGTTTTTCAGCATTTCTCTAACGCCATGTCTACGAGAAGCAAACAATCTCTAGAAAAGAAGTTGCTTTTCCTATCAAATGCTCTTCTGTTACTATCATTTTGTTTTGCTGGTCATTCTCGACATGAAGCCAACTCATTACTACCGTCTGATGCAAAATCGCTTTTAGCATTCAAATCCAAAGCCGATTTGAGGAACAACCTTTTGTTTTCTCAAAACACAAGCTTTCATTTCTGTCAGTGGCAAGGAGTCATATGTTATCAACAAAAGGTAGTGCGCCTAGTTCTCGAAAACTTAGATCTTGGTGGCATTTTCCCTCCCGACTCATTGTCTAAACTTAACCAGCTCCGAGTACTGAGTCTACAGAACAACTCACTAACCGGACCCATTCCTGATCTTTCCGGGCTTGTCAATCTCAAATCTCTCTTTCTTGATCATAATTACTTCACTGGTACTTTCCCTCCTTCAATCTTGTTCCTTCATCGCCTAAAAACCTTGGATTTATCTCACAACAACCTCACTGGACAACTACCAAAAGGTTTAACTTCCCTTGACCGGTTATACTCTCTGCGTCTTGATTTGAACTGGCTTAACGGTTCGATTCCTCCCCTGAATCAATCCTCTCTTCAAACATTCAATGTTTCAGGAAACAACCTGACTGGTGCCATACCAGTAACACCAACATTATCACGTTTTAATATCTCATCGTTTTTATTTAACCCTGGGTTATGTGGCGAGATCATACACAAAGAATGCCACCCCAGCCCACCCTTTTTTGGTCCATCAACGGCTGTTACGGCGGCACCCCCTCCAGCTATTGTTCTTGGCCAAAGTGCACAAGTACGTGGTGTTGAGTTAACTCAACCCAGTCCAAAGAAGCACCAGAGAACGGTAGTGATTATTGGTTTTTCATCCGGGGTCTTTGTTTTAATAGCTTCACTCCTGTGTTTTGTAATGGCCATGAAAAAACAGAATAAGAGAAAGACTAGCAAATCAACGGCTATGATGACACCTGATGATGCGGCGGCAACTGCGCAAGCAGCAGCTATGATTCAAATTGAACAAGAGAATGAGTTGGAAGAGAAGGTGAAGAGAGATCAAGGAATGCAAGTGGCCAAGAGTGGGAATTTAGTATTCTGTGCGGGTGAGGCACACTTGTATACGCTGGACCAGCTGATGAGAGGTTCTGCTGAGTTGCTAGGTAGAGGAACCATGGGGACCACGTACAAAGCAGTGTTGGATAACCGTCTGATTGTTTGTGTGAAGAGGCTTGATGGTACTAAATTAGCAAGTACAAGCAAAGAAATGTATGAGCAGCACATGGAGTCAGTGGGTGGACTGAGGCATCCAAATCTTGTTCCACTCAGGGCATACTTTCAGGCCAAGGAAGAAAGGCTCCTTATATATGATTATCAGCCCAATGGCAGTCTCTTCTCCCTCATACACGGTAAGCTTCTCTTCGTGTTCATGCTACTGAGCTAAGTTCTCAGTGAGTCTGTCCTCTGTGTTGACTCAGTTTGACTGTCTGGACACCTGAAAATCCAAGAAATATTGACCAAGGTTGTTCTGTTTATTATTATTATTTTATTCTTTAATTAGGTGTTACGATAGATCATTTTAGTATCGTGTTACTAGATTTGTTGGTAGCTTTTTCATCAACAGCGAGAATCTTGCTGCTGACTGACGTTGGGAATTGATTTGATGACAAATTAATTGTTTAATTAGTTGCGTATAGGCTTCAAACGTTTCTTTTGATGTGATAGGCGTTGTCGGCTTCTGATATTAGTTGTCCATATTGATCGCGTGGATTAACACTTACAATATTAAAATCAGTAAAGAAACGTACGATCTGACACTACTGGGTCCTTCTTCTCCATTGCTTAATCACCGTTGATCTTGAGGAGATAAGAATTCAATACTACCCCACCAATCATCCATCCCCAAATTGTATTTGTGTGCTAATTCTACGCGCGGATAGCGCGCTTGTCGTTACACTCACAGTCACAGACTCACTTATTCACAATCTAATTGCATGTGCAGGGTCAAGATCAACAAGAGCAAAGCCACTTCACTGGACTTCATGCTTAAAAATAGCAGAGGATATAGCACAAGGACTCTCTTATATCCACCAAGCATGGAGGCTAGTCCATGGCAATCTCAAGTCCTGTAATGTCCTGCTTGGTCCTGATTTCGAGGCCTGTCTTGCTGACTATTGCCTTGCAGCTTTGTCCAATTCACCTCCGGAAGATGACCCTACTAACCTACCGTATAAAGCCCCAGAAACCCGTAATGCAAGTCACCAAGCGACTGCTAAGTCAGATGTTTATGCATTTGGGGTTTTGTTGGTTGAGCTTTTAACAGGAAAACCACCATCACAGCACCCATTTTTGATGCCTAATGATATGATGAAATGGATGAGATCACATAGGGAAGACCATAGTGGGGAAGATGATAGGTTAGGTATGCTTATGGAGGTGGCCATTGGTTGTATATCAACGTCGCCTGAGCAAAGGCCCACTATGTGGCAAGTCTTGAAGATGTTACAGGAGATTAAAGAGGCTGTATTAATGGACGAAGGTGAATTGGACCCACATACTGGAATGTCCTAGTTATTATTTTTGTAGAACGCCATTTCCATTTTCATGTCCATGGTTAATGCATTAAGAAAAAGATATAGACATATAGTAGATGAAAACCAAGTTCGGCGTACTTTTAGTTGCTTTAATTCCGACATTACTTTGACTACTTCTTTCATTACTTTGGTATGGTTTCTACAATTATTATGGTGGGTGTCCATCCTTTTCGCTTTATTGTTTTAGACTTTTAGTCGTAATATCTCTCAACAAGGATCAATACTGAATTAACTATGGAAACTTGTGCAGTCATGAATTTTTTTTTTCCAGAAGCAGAAGCTGTTAACGACCTATCTAGCTGATCTGCTGCAGGTCCAATTCTGGCTGTTGTATTTGTAGATATATTTTTCAACTGAAGAACATACATTCATGGTTTTTTATATTATTGTTGTTTAAATCATTTGGGATTGATAAGGTTACAAAAATACGAAAATAATGTATATTTATATTTTAAGTTTCCAGAGCAATCATGTACTTGAAGATTCTTTGAAACTAGACGTAGATAACATGCAAAAGCCGGATAAGCATCATTTCTGGTTTCCCTCTGTATTTCGTCCTTCAATGGCCGTACTTAATCCTTTTTAACATCCCATTAATGTATTACATCTATAGTACTTTAATATGAAGTTTTATTAATTTGATTGGTTTTGGAAATGAGGGAAAGTATTTTATTTAAGATAGCTTGTGTTGGCCAAGGGATTGGTAGGAGGTTTGCTCCATTCTTTTAGATTTTGAGTTTAAATTTTGGGATTATTTACCGTAATAATATTGTGGTTTATCTGATTTTTTAGATTTATAGGGTATTTAATGAACCCTAAAAATTAATTGAGGTGTACAAGCTGACCTCTTGTTACGAAAAAGAAAAATATATTAAATATTAAATACTATTAGCCTGGAAGATGGTATAAGTAGAAATGGGTAGAGTGTATTTAGTAACGCCCACCCATAAATTATTGGATACCAAAAGGAGCCCAATTGCGTATAAGGCCGAAGGGAAAGTTGAAACCCAAATTCAACACTGAATATTATGATTTATGGGAGAGACAGTGAGAAAAGGAGTGGTGCCTCTGCAGAATTTGCTGGAATCGTCTAGCATCGATACCATTAAAAAAAAAAAAAAAAAAAATTCAATAAATAAAGAAAACAGAAGGAAGCCAGATCTCAGAGGCAGCTGCAGATATTTCGTAATTGAACAAAAAGATATAAATTAAAGCTGGGAGATAAAAGGAAAAAAATTAAAAGAAAAACCTAGATAGCTAACTAGAACGACGGATGACATGGATCGTCGTACGGACGTCGAGATGATTGAAACGGAGACCGTCACGGCAACTCAGCCACGCCAGGACCAAGTCGACGTTGCAACAGAGCTACTCACATTGGCTCGCCAGCTCATTAATCAGGGCAAGCCTTCTCAGGCGCTGCAGGCCGTAAGTAATTTACACTTTCTTCAATTTATGTTTATCATTTTTTGTTTCAGCTTCATGAATAGTATCTGATGAACTTTTCCGTATTTTTTTTTTCAAAGAGAAAATATTTGTTATCAAAATTTGCTGAAGAGCATGGATTTGGTTTTCTCTGGCATTGATCAGACACATGGAGATCATTAGGTCACTGTTTGGACTTTGGAATTAGTGGCAGCTAGGTTGTTAAGTTGTTAAATTGCTTAATCGGCAGATGTCCTTTCCTTTTATCTGTTTAAAAGAAGTGATATGATATGAAAGCACTGATTTTATTTATGATATCAATTCATGCTCTAATTTGTATTGAAGGCTTGTGTTTATCTTTAGAAATGGCCAAATAACGTATCATTTCGTAGTATTCCATGGATATGATGCTTGCATTGGCGTATCGTAATGGGAAAAATTGACGGCACAATGTTCAAGTGCACAATTATTTTCTCCCTTGAGAATTCTGTGTTTATAATTAATGTTTGAAACAGGTGGTGATGGCCATGAGAACCAAAGGTGGGGAGGAAGCTGTGTTTCTGTCTCTTCACCGTGCTCGTGAACTGTACAGAAGTAGACTGCAAGAAAACACAGCTGCAGATCAGCTGGCTGCTTTATTTGCCGAATGTGTGATTGCTGAAGCTCAGCCTTTAAATGTTGAACCACCACCATGTCCTGTTGTTGCTCCATCACTTGCTGCTAATGCTGATGGAACTTCTATACTTGCTGAAACTGGTCGAACGCAAATTGTGTTGGATGCATATTCAGATGGAAGCAGCTTTTTCTGTTTACAGTGTGGGGGTCTTGTTAGTAACCATCGCAAAGATGAGCACTATGCGTACTGGTGTTGTAAACTGTGATGCAGAGTTATGTGGAATGGATATTTGCTTGAACTTGATCTGATGCACCTCTAGAAAATTATTGCCATGCTGTTGCCCTCCCTGTACTGCCATTGACTGCATATAGTCTCATTACACACTATTGCCAAGTATGCCGTGTCTGGTTATTCACAGATGATTGGCCGATTTAGAAATTAGAGGCATCAGCGGTTCGAAGGGAAGAGGATAGTGAAAATTTATGCCCCTTTTAGAGTATTTCAGAATCTTGTATTCCTGCAGTAATGACCATTATAAAAGAAAGCGAGTAATATGTTATCAACAAATGGTTATATCTCATACTAGTGTATTTCATATAGTCTGTACCAAATGGTTTGTTACTAGTGCTTTTTATTTCTTTTTTCAAGGATGAACTCACTCATATTCCAGTCATCTAATAAGTGAATTACTTCAAGAATGGGAGTTGCTAATTCAATGATATTTCCTCTTTTGTGTTAAGTCTCCACATTTGTCTCTGTGGAGATGAGCCATTAATCAAAGCTCGTGTTTCTGAAACTGATAATAGGAGATGCAAAGAGAACCAAGCTCTTGCCTAATCAATTTTGATGGAATTGTACGTAGATTTTGACAGGTGGTATAGTTGTAATGGTACTAAAGTTTCATGATTTTCTGAATGGGAATGGCTTGGAGCTGCCGCCTGCTGCTGCTGCTGAAATTGGTTTCTGATGGGGTGAGGATATACTGACAGGAAACTGATGAGTATACTCTCATCATCATGATAGGTATCTTAAGGGAGACTCGACTGTTTTATATGATTTCAGTTTTAAGTGAAAAGTGGAGGAAGTTAGTTCAATGAAGATGAGTGCGTTCCGTAAAGAATTAAGTTGCATAGTCTGAAGGCAATTGAATATCGTCTGGGTGAGAAAATAACACTAAAAATTTGTGTAATGTCGACAACGACTTCCCCTCTGGACCGTTTCACATCTTAAACCACGTATCTAATATTCTGAAAGCTTAAATAATAGTATTTGGAATTTAAAAGATTGTAAAGTTGGGTCCTTAGATTTGAGCCAGGCAGTTACCAGTTAAGTGTATCGTTATATACTTATGTTGTGTTGAACAAAGGAAGCAGTTGACACCATATGTTATTTTTCAAAGAAGTCAATAAAAAAGTGTTTTTTTTTTTTTTTTTTTTTATTTTTTTTTTTATTTTTAAAATCAAGTTCTTTTTGAGTTTGGAGGATATATTTTGGTTAATTGTTTTGAATATAGAGAGCACATATTCTGTTTCTTTTGGATTTGGAAAATGGTATCAAGTGGCACATGGGTATATGAAGGTGAGTTCGGCCGAAAATAAGACAGCTGCTAAGGTCATTCACACAATGAAATGGTGATCCACCTCAGCTCAGCAAGTTCAGAGAAAGAGGCAAAACCTTTGGGGGATTTACATTTTACAGTCAACAGCTGCGTGTTGTTGGTCCAGACACTCAACTCAGAAAGATTTCTCATTATTTACCACACAAATCACCTGCCCTCGTCATCTTTGATCCATTCAGAATACATTAATGAGAATCTACATATTTGCTGCCAAGGATATTCATACGAGGACCAATGCATATCCAACAAATGATAATTATATCACTAGACGAATTTCATTTTGCTGTAATGTTATAACAATGACTAGCTACTCCAAACCTTATAACAAAATCAATATTGTGCTTACACACAATAAAATCCAAAACAAATTACACAGAAAAACCTATTACGAATAAAATCAAAAATAAAATATCAGACTGGACCTTTGATACAGATTTATGTGACTTTGTGGGAAGAATTACACCCACCAATTTGTTGTTATTGACAGAGTGAACCAAACCAATAGAAACCATGAGTGATATAATCTTTCATTGAACATTATCACTCACGCCATCTCAGACCCCCGGCGTTCCCTTTATAAGTAATTGGGTGAATCATCGGCAGCAACCACACTACTATACAATATGCTCCCATTTTGGTAATCACATCAAAAATTTCCAAGATACAAACTAAACTTTTCCAGAATCAACTCATCCAACACAACTATTAGCAGAGCTCCTCAACAGCAATTTAAACTGCATTAAAAAAAAAAAAAAAAAAAAAAATTAATGTTCTAGTGCTTGTAGTAAACTATATTATTTTTACATAAAGTTAGCCAGTAATTAAACCAGAAGTCAATCTCGCTATCCAAGCAGAACTGGTGTCAATTGTCCAACTCAAAAACAACTAAAACTAATTTTGTTTGATGATTACTCTTTCAAAAACTTTTTTGACTAAATTTTAAATGAGTGAAGAAATTTGTTTGCAGCCATTATATCCAAAGAGAAGTCTGAAATATTAAGTTGCAGAATAAAACAAATATTTTGAAACCAGGTGCCCTTTATCCATAAAATTTAATTGTGCAAACTATTTGGAAAATGAATACTCCGAGGTGTCAACGCTACATACTACCAAAATTTATGTAAGATTGAAGATAATATTGTACCAAAAATTACCTGCTCTCCATTCTCCGCGCTTCCATGCGCCATGGATTGGGATCAGGCTTATTAGTCGGGTTAGTAAAGGGCAATAATAAGCTTGTGACCATAACCACAGCACATCAACCCACACGTGGCAGGGTTTGTTGACGAGGCCTTGCCCTGACCATTGTTTCATCACTATGCCTGATCAACTCAGAGAGTCTCCATGGCTTCTGCCACTTCCATTTAAATTGCAAAAGCCATTGCTGGTGGCTTCTCTTCCACCTCCATAGCTTTCCACCTTGTCCTACAGCAACTAATTTTTTCCTTGACAGCTGCCCAAGTGGTACCATCTGCACTAACAGCAAAGCTGACCATCTTAGCCAAAGTAGGACAACATATCCCAATCCAATAATAAAGGATTGAAAAGGAGATGAACCTTTCGCTTATGATCTATGAATGCTGCTGACACTCTCATTGAACCATTAGCAATGCCTGGTGTATATTTCAGCTGCTTCTGTGCCGGCACAGACATTGGAGATGGAGGACCACTCACATCGTCAGCTGAGTGTTTCAATGAATTGTGTGTGTTCTCCTGTTCATGGTAACAAAGAATTAGACATAGTAGAATAATGATTACAACTTCCAAAACAATAAAAAAAATGCATTTCAGTCCAACATTAGGAAAACCACAACAATACCCAGCAATAGTGAAAACCCATATAAAAAAACATCAAAGTCCGAAAATTTAATTGGAAAATTATCTCATTAATGAACTTTCCTACAGAGATAAAGTTTTCAGTTAGAGCTCTAAGTTCGTTCTAAAATTATCATGCAGAAGAACAAAAGTCAAAAGTGAGAAAGAATCTCACTGAAGCTGATGTAGACAGTGCAATTGCAACAGCTTGCTCCCTCAATTTTAATTCCTTTTCTACTTCCTTTCTCCGCACCTCACTCTGTCGCAACAGACCTACTAGTTCTTTAAGTTGCTCTTTCATTTCCTTGAATTCTACTTCTTTCTCCCACAGTTGGCACCTGTTGTAAACATACAAAGAGATTTAAAAATTTTGACTCCGCAAATGAATTCTATTAACCATAATATTCAACTGGATACTCTGATATTTAAGAAGAACTGCTACTTATGTCAAAGGAATTGCTTTCTGCATTTTCATCCACACACCTGAAGCCCACCCCATTTTGTTCATGTTAACTCTTTGTTTTCTAATTTTCTTTTGTTTATTCTAGTGCTACAGGTGGCACCATCCCGTTCCTTCCCTCTCGTTTTTTCTTTTGCAGTTTTCCACTGAATCGTATATTTTGCTGTTAATGCTGGAAAGTTTTCTGAAATCTATTTGGAGCAAAATTGGCCCAACAGATTCATGTTCAACTCAGAATTCTATGTATTACTAGGACAAATAAATTAAATTTCAGACAGAAACCAAGGTGAAATAGTTTACATCATCACTAGTTAGTAGAAAGTACCTTGTATCAGCAAGGGAATTGAACATGTATTGAAGTAAATTCTTTGCATCTCCCATTGAACGCAACTGATTCCAACGTCCACGGTTAGTGAAGGCACGCTCCCGCTCTTCTGCCTCTGAAAGTTGTGAAGCCATTGCTACAAGTGAATTAGATGATATACTCAGCATGTTCTCAAGTGAAGATATTCTGGCCATTCTTGCATTTGGTGACATGGAGGATGCTCTGAACAAGCAGTAAAAACATATTAACTTTCAAACTGTTTTTCATCAACCTCAGACCAGAAAAAAAGTAGAAAGATGGAATTGATTAGAATAAATTACTCCACAACTTATACCTAGCAAACCCATTCTTCCCCCTTGGAGGACTAAGTCCCTTTGAAGTAAATTCATCCACTTGCTTCAGCACAGCCAACTCTTCTCCCAGTGCAGCTCGCCTGGAGATTAAGCAGTAGTTAAATTTAGAACTGGGATAATGGTTTATTGGCACAGCAGATATTACATAAATACAAATTAAGCACATACACTTGGCTCTGCTTTTCATATTCAAAACGAACTTCATGCACATTCACCATGACTTCTAGCTCATGATCAAGCCAACGCTGTAAGGATTTCTCATTGCTCTATGGACACAAATTAAGTCAAAATCAAGCTAAAACTTAAGTTGAGCAAATATAGAACTTATCCTGAGAAATTAAGGATAGATCATTACCAGCCCATTTGTGCCATTCCCATTGGTGATAACTGGAACATGGCATAAAATTAGCAAATTGAAGCATAAAAGTGAACGCCCTGTAATCTAAGAATCCCAAATTTCTAGTAAACATATAGCTTCTCCAGCATGTTAACTTACTTGAGTTGTCTCTGGCAGAAGGTTTACGGGATTCAAGCAACTCTTTTAGCCTCTTGGTGGCCATTGCAGCCTCTTCTGTCTTTCTTTGAAGAACCTGATGGAAAGAAGTTTTTTCCTATAAACTGCTGCATATTATGTTTAACAAACATAAATCAGGGAGAGAAGAGAGATGTGCTCACCAATTTCTGGCGTTGATTCAAAGCTTGCAATTTATGCCTTTCATACTCGTTTCTCCTTCCCTCCTTCCGCAACTGTTTTTACCAAACCAATTCTTTGTTAGTATATGTAAATAAAATATAAATAAAGCAAAATGTCAAAAGCAATTTTCAGGTACAAAGCATAGTCAAAGACAAGTTACATATCTATGTGTCTCTCACTATATTCAAAATCGAAAATACAACTAAACCTAAAATTTCCTTGTTTAACCTCTGTAACTATATTCCTCCTCACAGATTAATACGAAGTAAAAGTTAATAAGTTCACATAAATGATCAGGTTAATAAATTAATGCAAGGGTAAATGCGAGTTTGCATGACAAAAATTGCCAAATTGTTGATTTTCCAGGATATTTAGACTTATAATCATCCAGTAGCTTGCCAATTAAAAAAAGAAGGTTAGACAAAAATTGTTTATCTTCTCCATCTGCCAAATACAATTGATTATCTTCTCTTGTTATGCAACATAAAAGGTCAGAAACAACTAATTGGCAAGACCATAATAGAGGTGCTATTGTGTAACTTTTGTCAAATCATTTATTTCCCAAAGTGAAGATTAAAGCACCTGCAAGAGTTCCTTCTCTCGAGAGGCTTTCCACTGACGAAATTGTTCTGCCTCTTGTTTTATCCTCTGTTGCAGTTGAACCTACACAGAGAGAGAAAAGAGAAGAAATAAGAAGAAAATTAGTTGCAGATCGCATGGAGGTAATAGATAATGACTATAGAAAGTAGGAGAATTAAAAGCCAAATGAGATTTAACCTTTTGAGCCTTTATAGATTGAATTTCATCTTGCAATCGCTTTGCTGCTTCGTCACTCTTTTGTTTCTGTTTTAAGAGTTGAACCTGGTTCTCTTGTTTTTTCTTTAGATCCAGAATCTGGTATTTAGTTATGAAGATTGTTTAATGGTTGAATATGTTATGTTTTTTAATCCAAAAATATATGAAATTTGGGCTAAAGCCTACTTCACCTGTGCCTCAAGTGATTTTAATTTATGGGCGTGGACATCTTGCAATTTTTGTGTTTGGCCATCGGAACTGGCAGCACGATTTTCAACTTCAGCCAACAAACGATCTCTTTCTTGCTGCAGAAATAAAACAGGGGCACAGATGAAACAACAATAATGAAATTTCAATGGGGATACAATAATAAAATTCCAAGTAAATTCTTTTTAACCTGCACAGTCCAATTTTCATCCTCTAATTCTGCTATTTTCTTCCCGAAATGTTGCTTGAGTGCCACAGTATCAATTCCACCAAAAAGTTTCATCTCTGACTGCTCAGACACCAAAGGTGACGTGAGGTTAAAAATAAAGAACATGTACTTCAAAATTTCAAGGGTGCTGACAGTGAAAATAATAGTAAATGTAGAAGATATACAAAGGCAACTTAACAATAAACCATAAAAAAATAAAAAATTTATGTATTCACAAACTGTTCGGATTTCATATCGAGATCTCACACCCACCAAGTGTGACACTTAAGCTTAGGGGTTGTACCATCTATCATGCCGGTCTTTTGGGTTAGGCTCTCTCTTGAACTTGAGTTCTAACATTGGTGCTTTTGTTGAGAGTTAAGTTGCAGAAAGGGTTACCTATAGGTTAGATTAAGATGTACTGAGAGGGTGTTACATCGAATAACAAACAGGTGAGTGAAGGCGCCTAAAGGGGGAAAAGGCTTCCGTCGGGTCAGTGTCAATAGCGTGAAAGCTGCTGTAGACGTCGACTTTTGAAGGGGGTACTTAAGCCTAAGGGCTCTACCACCTATCAGAGCGGTCTTTTGGGTTAGGCTCTTCCTTGGTCTTGAGTTCTAACACAAACTACCCCACACCTTTTCTGATTTCTCTTTTAACTGAGTCCAAATTTCTAAAATAAAATGAAAAATCGTTAACAATCTTTTCATGGCATCCCAGACCTGGCCAAGAAAAATCATCGGAATGCTTCTAGGAGAAGGAGATTGAACTGAAGAGCAGTATTTTCTCATGGTCTTGCCTTCGATGTATAGAACTTTTGGGGTAAGAAATGTAGTTTTCCAAAAATTACAAAAAGAACCTACATATATGTAGCGATGAAATAAAGTTTTAATATGATATAAATATTCTTGTCAATGCATTGTAAGATAAATTAAACACCATTGGGTGGTCGAGTGGTCAACTAATACTCTTAGATATATTACTCCAGAGATCTTGAGTTCGATCAACTTCGATTGCTAATTGGAGTGGTCACTGGAGGCTTACTCGGTCGTTAACTTTAGGGTCTTGAGAGATTAGTTGAGGTATGCGCAAACTGACCCATGCGCAAACTGGCCTGAACACCTCCAGTTATAAAAAATAAATAAATTGAGGAGAAAAAATACCTCTTTCTCCTCTAATCGTCTATTTAACTCATGGAGCTCTTTGTCCATAGAATTCTGAAAAAGCGTGTGCTCCCACTCCTTTGCGACTTCTTCATCAATTTCCCTGGAGTCACCTGCCAAATTTGGCAATGGTATTCTAAATATCATGTTCCAACAAAAGCAAACTTGAGTTTGTATCACACAAATTATTGAAGTGAGAGATTGTAACAAAAACAAAATAAAAGATATGTGGCAACCAGAACAAAAGCTTATACACAGTATCACTAATGAGAAAGGACGTGTTTTTCCGATAGTAAATCTGGGAGTGCCGTACCTGTCATAGTTTCACCCATTTGAAAATCAGTTTGCTCGATACTATTCAAGCTTCTTTTAAGCCCATCACTTTTCATAGGACACGGACTACCATCCTGAAAAAGAGAAAGCAAAAATTTGTGTATCACACGTAAATCAAGTCTACAACAACGTTAAGGATATTGATTTTCTAGAACATGTAATAAACAAAATGGAAAAAATGTAATTGAATTATCCCATGCTTTAAGAAATGAGCAAAGGATAATCGGAAAAGTTCCAAAAGAAGCAGATACTATTACATACTTGAGCATCCGTTTCACGCTGGTCTACAACGGTGCATCTACCGCGGTATTCATGGAGTTCTCGGCAAAGATCTTCATTAGCAGCTTCAAGCCAAGCAATCCTTTCCTTCAGAACCTAGACAAATAGTTTAATAAGGTATACATAACTGAACAATATGAAACTCTCTCCAAAACGAAATTCAGTTCATCTAATTCAAGCAATCCCTTAATTACAAACCTGATAAATTATACTAAATAACAATGATCCAACAAATTTGTCTTTACAAAAATATTTGATGATGAAATTATTAATATTTTTATCTAATGGTTAATGGAAAATTGGAAATAAAAGTTGACAGAACCAAATACCTGTACTTCATCCGATGAAGATCCTCCTCCACGGGCACAAAGTTCAGCCTGTAAATACTCTAGCTGTTGACGCATCTTTATCATCTCACTGGACATGGGATCTCTGTTGACCTAGTAAAGATAAAATTCGATGATAGAAATGAATGTATCATACTCTCATAAAGTAAGCATACTTTTACCGAAAAAAAAAAAAAAAAAAAAAACAGTTGAAAAATTCTCTGAAAAGTCTTACAACAGGCTTGTTTTGGATATTTCGAGCACGGTTTGCATATTTAAGTGTGTTAAGGGTTTCCTCAGCATTAATATCAGCAGGACTAATGCAGGCTGTAGAAGGTAAACTTTTATTTATGTTAGAGAATGTGAATCACAGACAAGGATAGAGAGGATATTATTAATGAAAAATGGAAGTTACAAGATAGACAACTATGCAAGTATCAAAATCAGAAAAGAAAATTACCAATCATAACAGTTCTGCTGTTACCGCCAAGCGAATCCTGCCAAAGTTCATGAAGCAAGTCAATATATAAAAATATGAAAATATTTAAATTGAAAATGAAGACTAAAAACATGAAGCAAAAATCTGAACCTATTCCATACTTTTAAATAGATTACATCATCATCTTTATTGCTTCTGACCAATTAAAACCAGTTACATGTCAAATCCTGACAATCAAGTTTCAAATAGTAGATGCAGTTAGCTATGGACATGACTATTATTTTAGTAACCACCCTTAGTTCAGCTCTGAAATGAGCAGATCATGGAAGAGTCTAATCAATCATATACTCATACAAATTTGTTTATTAATGGTTACTAAAATTCTAAATACACGTCATTTCAACTCCTATTAATACCCCAATCAATTGGCAGGCAGATTCCAGAGTTAGTTTGGAGTGCTTAGTATAGAAATCTCTTATCAACAATTCAATCTTTCTCTTCTTTACTATTTTTCAATAACATAATGAACAAGATAATTGATCCCTTGTAATAAACTCTTCAAATATGTCATACCTGCAAAAGCCTAGTAAGTTTGCTGTCACGATAAGGAACATGTACACCTTCTTTGCGTTTTTTGTCATCACCAAGAGCGCTAATAACATTACCAAGTGCAAGGAGGCCCTTGTTGATGTGAACTCCTGTTTGAAAAATTAAAGTTTTGTCACTGTGTTTGATCAAGAAGCACTTTAAGATTCACAAGTGATCAACATCTCCACCAACCTTCCTTGAAACGCAAACCATCAGAACCAGTTCTTTTGGCCCTTTCCGATCCAGCAAGATCTACTAAATGCAATTTGGCACATAAATATTCTTCGTTCATGCTCTCATTAGGACTACTTTCACCCGGGAAAACTGGATTGAGCTTACGCATTTGCTCTAAAGTGATGGTAAATATTGCATGTGAACGACTGTATAAAGACATACCAGAAAACATAATATGTTAATAAAAATGGTGATAACTGCTACGGATTTAAAAGTAAGTATACATTTTAAGGCAATGTTTCCAAACCCATACTGGTACACAAACATAAGGTTGAAAAGTTCTTACCTAGGAAAAATAATTTAATGGATAGAAATCTATTCATGATTCCCTTATATCCAAAAATAAAACTCAAGAAGTTTATAGTAGGTAGCTTTCTTAAATATTGTATATCACAAAGTTTTCTCATATATGATACTAATTTGTTCTGCTATTTATGCAGAGTAACTGATTTAATGGAGAATTAGAATGTTTCTGGATATTGGTTAAAATGGGAGGCTCTCCAAGCAATTATTTTCAGCAGGTAAGGTTTTCTCAAGACAGTGCATGTATCCAAGAGTGACAAAAGATTACATATATGATCTATGTATCGTATTTACCATGTTAAATGTTATTTTTGAAAGATAATTGTTAGGCAAGAAACAAAAATTATCACATAGCAAAGCATCTATCTGCAATTTGAAGTAGAAGTAAGATGCATAATTAACCTTGACTGATTGTTCATGTTTGTACTCCCTGTTGCCCTGCTCAATGATCCTTGCTCTAGGCAGGCAGCCATTTCTTTTAGAGAACTAACACTAACTTCAGTAGATCCAGCCAGTGTAATAACACCATTTGATGTTTCACGGATTTGTATTGGTGGTTTCCCAGGGACAGTTACTTTTCCTGCATGCCCATTTGCAGTTTCTGGTTTGTTCAAGCAAGTGGGGTCCAGCAAATCTTGTACTTCTTCTTTTAAAATCTTTCAAATTGCAGGTTTTTAGTTAGAGATTTTCCACAAGAAGGAAAAACTTCGGGTCACAAATAATAGTATTAGAATATAAGAAAATAAAACAAAGTACTTTTGTTGGGGACACTTTACACACCTAAATAAGGAAAGATAATACACAAAGCTGATCTCATGTGAATTCATTATAAGTAACAAATATTTGACAAACATATTTTGCCTTCAGTTTCTGAAATTTTTCTAATTTTGTTCAAAGACATATTGGATGCTAAATCATAGTTCTCACTGTAACATGGATATTTTTTGGCTGCTAGGAAAACAGAAGCTCAGACATCTTCAATAAGATCCATAATTATGCAAAACGACTGACATTCTTGTAATAGAACATTCCATAGATTAAAATTATACAGTGAAATTGTAACATAGAGCCTTACTGATGACATCAAATAACTCTTGAAGAAAGAAGGCAAACCTCAATGAAGGAAACGTGCAATTGGAATTCAGTCTGATGCTTTAACGTCTCAATTTTTTTAAACAGAACATTCATAACTTGAGGAATAATCCCTGTTTGGCATCCATCTTTGAAGCCAGTGCCCATTGTATATGTTTTCCCAGATCCTGTCTGCACCATATAAAAATGTTAAATTGGAAGAAAGGAGATTTCCCAAGCATACATAATATTTGCTTCACTTGAGCAGTTTTCTATGACGGATTAACTATACCTGACCATAAGCAAGTACAGTAGCATTATACCCTTGGAACAAACCATCAACAAGAGAAGCAATACATTCTTCAAACATAGCAGATGAAGGAGAACCAGTGCTTCCATATACATGATCAAATGTAAAGGAATGTGTCCCAATTTGTACCTGCATCATAGTCAAATCAGGAGAATTATATTTATATTTGGTAACATGTAGTTCAAAGGCATTGGCAACACATGAACAAACATTGAAAAATATATATCATAAATATGTATTTAATAAACCACCTTTCTCCGCAATTCATTGCTAATGACTATTGAAACATCTTTAAAGGAACCCTATTAAATCAGTATATTACAGCATACAATACTTCACACAAGTAGAAATTATATGTATCAATCTGAAAATATGAAATGCCAAATAAAGATTGCAAAGAAGAACATTAGCGAAATTCTATAGACGGATACATCAGTGGTGTAATATATTATGTTTGCTCTTTCCTGGAGAAAGTACAATTAATTTTAGTTATATATGGTCATTGCGTATTTTGAACCCTCCATCACCCCCCTCAAAGAGAGATAAAAATCAGAGTCGTTCCGGAAAGGCACACAAGCTTGTACATAATCTTGCAATAGAACTCAAAATTGCATATTAAATCCGGAATGACAAACAATTTACTTATAATATAAAAGCTAAACAACAAGTAAGAAGGCTAGAATTCAGATGGCAACAAGACTCCACATTACAGTTCCTTTTTCATTTGCTTTTTCAGAAATTTTAGCAAGGACCACTTTGGCACTAAACTGAGCACAAATACCTTATCTCTCATACATCTATACCAGTGAATTCAACATAAGGCTCTGCATAATGGAGTGAATACACCTGTACGATTATTTAAATCTTTACATAAACAAAGACCATCGCTAAACAATTCTAAGATTGGAATTATAAATGAAATAAACTTACTAAAATACCAGATGAATTATTCCGAAAACTAGCCAAATGTAACCTGATTCTGTGTAATTTTGACCTCTGTAATTGTAAGACTCGATTATGAAACTAATCCAATAATGAAAATAACGAGTATTGACTAAATTCTTATCCCAATAAGATTTAGAGAAAACACTCTTCAAAGTCAAACATGCAGGACGAAGTGTTTAGCATCCTAAGATCTAGATCTTCATAGATTTATGAATCAACAACTCTAACTAAGCATACACTACAAGAACTATCCACTGAAATATAGTAGACTAAACCGGCCACAATGACTTGTGCACATTAAATTCACAGTCCACTCCGAGCTTTCACATTCTGACAAATGAGTGCATACCTGAGGCTTCCCAGGAATGACAGTGACACAATCTTTACAACCCTGTGCACGCTCATCAGCGATGAGTGGCCGCACGTGAACTGCAACCTTCACACAACAATCCTCTCCACCGCCCCCAGTTTCCATATGAAGCAGCTAAAGATGACAACAAATTCACTCACAATTTTGGAGGCGGTAAAAGCAACAAGAATGAGCTCTATCTATATGTTTATGAATTCAATCTTTGCTATTAACCGTTCTCATTGTCTGAGAATTTGGAGAATTTCAGACAAAGAAAGTGATACAGGAACAACAAAAACAACAGAACAGGACCAAGATAGAAACTGTGAGTCAAGTTTCAGACAATGTGTTGTAGAGAGAGAGTGTTTTCACACAAAACCAAAAAAAAAAAAATGTAAGAGACTTTAGAGAGAGAGAGAGGGAAGGGTAGTTGGGGAATTAACAAAATGGAGAGCAAAGGCAGGGGAGTGGCAACTGTTAACTGCAAAGACAACAACCACTATCATTTTCCTTAGGCTTCACTACACCACAAACAACTTAGACAGTTGTGCGTGTGAAAAAATAAACTTTCATGACACTCTTTCCTATTTTACCCTTGTCCTTACACAACGGCTCTCACCTGCCTTGCTTCAAGGTCTTGTCCCCGTTTTCTGGAATTGTTATTACGTTTTTACCCTCCTAAGTCCACGTACATATTGTTTATTTAGATTTTCTGTTTTTAAGGTTTGTGGAGCGGTATAAGTGCAAAGCCCCGCATTATGATGTTTAGGAGTCATGATTGTCCCCAGAATATAGTAGAAAAAGGGATGGCACAGCACAGAAGCCACGTGATTTGGGATCATATACGATTTGCGGAGAAATTTTGGGCACGAGGAAGATTCATATTTACATGTTAAAGATTATTTCCTCTAACTAGTATTTCTTTTTGCATGTGCTATGCATATACGATTACGCGCTTCAACTAATTACTATAGTTTAAATTATTTAACGAATTGAATTTGCTCTCTTAGAAACTAATAGAAAAATGTGTAAACTTATTCAAAGTACAGACCCACAAACTTAAAAGAGAAAGAAATGAACATTAAGTTTCATTACCTACCCTTTGTGAGTTGGGAGATAGTATGTGAATGAAACTAAAATGGGGGAAAATAAGAAAGTGATTTGAGAAGAGAAGTAAAGGGAGAGGAGGGGAAAAAGAGACCCACAAATTAGACATAGCCAGCTGGTGGTCTCCCATCCTCACATGGTTCTTTTAGTGTCAATAACCCGAGTGGACCCCGTTTAAAATTGGGTCACAGTCAGATGGTCCCAATTTTTACTGATTTTGTAGCACTTAGAAAATTCGTCTTTGGTATTTTGCAACTTTAAGTATCATCCTATACTTTCACACCAACCCACATCATGTCTGTATCTCATTATCCTGTGGATCAGATCACCTAACATTTTGATTTTACTCTTTAGATTTTAATGATCATTAAGGCCTCTTACTCTTTTATGGTTAATTTGTCACTTTAGAGTAACATATTTCCACCAAAGTATTTTAATTATCCACTCCTTGTGTTTTGTTTCTCTCCTTGTGTCAAAACTTAAATTTTAATCAATTATAACGTTTCGATTTCCATTTCAGTTTCTATCAAATAAATCTTTTTAAAAGGAAGTGATACAGTTGAACAACTAAGAACATGCATTAAGTGTTTCATCGGTCTTGAAAAAGAGCAACAGCCCAGTGCCTGCCAATTGGAGCCCATATGTTTAGTTATAGCATGTTACTTGCTAAGCGTTGGAGGTTGTTGCATTAATTGGTCGTTAAGAATGTTTAAAGCAAGTGATGAAAGTAGATAAACCGGAACATGAATTACAATAAAAGCCAGGAAAGGACGACCAGACACTTCACTCTTTACATGAAAATGTCACTGACATTTGACAGCGATACTGGGACTATAAAACTGCAATTTAAGCAGGCTTAATTAGTTGCATAGAGCATAATCAAAGGTCAAATCCTTTAATTAGTACTGAATTTTATTGGGATCCATAACCATGTATAATTAATCAGAAGGTTGATAAGATTTCCCTACCATATTATGGAGCATGCCGACCTTTCTTAGTGGGCCTTAGCTCAAACATCTTATCAACGTTTCCCTACTTGTAGGATAACTTGCAGAAACTGGCAATACTAATTTAGAAAAAAACTCTTAAAAAATTAATCTTTCCTGGTTTACAAATGTGACATATTTCCTAATTACAAGTGAAAACGCCATTTGGCAATTGGGGAAAGAACTTACTAACTGTTATAGGAGCAAAAAGAAAGCTGCTATGTTTCCTTTTTCTTGATGCGGTAGACTGCAAGTTAAGCAAACTGCTGCAAAACAACATTGTCATTCTGCAGTTATCTAACTGCTTCGTTCACAAGAAAGAATGAGGAAAAATAGAGAAAGCATCTCTGATGCAAAGATCCTAACGCAACATTTCCTTTTCACAACCTAATTCTTCGTTCATTGGATTTTCCCATTTCCGACCGTTAGTTTGGATCATCACCAAGCAACCACACAAGACCCCACTTTTAGTCTTCTGCATGAATTTTTCTTTTTTTCTTTTTTTTCGTCGTCACGTTGTAGCTTCTCTTACACTAACACCTACTGTTTTAGTTTATTTCAAAAGTTAAACCTATATATATTACCCACCGCCAAATTGGTTCCCAATAACTCATCCAATAATGACCTTAATCTGGTTTTAATTGCAATTACTGCCAAGATGATGAATTTGTTGAGATTGAGATTTGGTAACCAAAGTTTTGTTTTTCGTCACCTCAATCTATAAAATAATCATACAAAAAATGATTATGACAAGTTTGATAACCAAAAGAATTCATTATAGCATACTGTCGTCCTCAAGATTTATATACAAACAATCAAACATGCTCTACGATTTGCCACTTTTAATTAATTCTCCCACAATGGACTACTGATTTGCCAATTGCTTGGAAAATTTCCCAGTTATGACCTTTTCAGAATTGGCGAATCATATGCCAACGCTTGCTACCTATTACGTACTGGACAGTAAACAGTAAACTCAATGCAGATTAACAGGACCACAACGTCCACATGATTGAAGAAAATTTTCAATCCATTAAATCAAAGCAGTAGCTATTTGTGCGCAAGTGCTTTATTAATTCCCATCCGTATTTCTCCTCCCCCAACCAGCTTTTTCATAGTGCTTTGCATCACATGCTCCCACCTTCTTTACATGAAAAAGAAATATATGTACATATTCTCAATCACTAACTTTTGATCCTGGCTACCACCTCTCATTCTACAATCAAGTAATAAGCAACTCTTGTTTATTTACTGTCTAGTGTCCAATCCCATTCTTAATATTAATGTGTCCACTGATTTTGAAGTACAATTAACATAATCTAAGGTTTCATAGGGGATATGATTCCGAGGGGCATCATTATATATGAGTGTGGTCCTCTTGTCAACCAAAGCGAATATATTCAATCTAATTGGGTTCCTTTTAGTTTTCCCCATCATACCTTGTCTTGGATATAAACTGCAATGCTGCTAATTGCTAAAGTTAAAACGTTTGGACTTTAGAGAGTGGAGACACAGCATGTGCAACACTGCTGGTATTCATCATGCGCATGCATCACTGTTAGAGGTATAACGAGAAGTGGGGTACCTAAAAATACTTTTTCTGTTGCTATTGTATCTACGCATTCATTATCATATCTATTAAATCATTGGTTAACGGTTCCACCCGTTCATCTATTGGGCCTTTTTTTTGGATTTACATCTGGACTGTTGAAGCAGGCCCATTTAATTGCTTATCATGAATAACAATAAGCCCATATTGATCCTCAATATGTTCTGCTAAAAAAAACGCCTGCCCCTGTCAGCAAAGCCTAGAAACAAAGCTCTTATATAATTAAAAAAAAAACTTGTTTGTATGCCTGAGATTTTAAAATTACTTATATAAAAATGTATGAGTGTATTTATAATATGATACGTTTGTGTAATATATAAACATTAAGTAAGAACAATCTATGAAGTGTCACAAATTTATTCGTCTTATGTGAATACATGTTGTCAAATAAAACTTAATTTTTTTAATTGTGTATTGCGTATCGTATCGTAGGATACACATTTTTTTTAAAAATTAATAAAATAATAAATTTTTTCTAAAAATTAATATTATCCAAAGATTAATTAAAGAATTTTATAGTATTATTAGCTTTAAATTATAGTCTTACATAATCAAAATTAATCACAAAATTAAGAATCTATATTATTTTCTCCCAACCATTCATATCATTTCCAAAATCAATGTCAATATCTATATCTCCACTTATATTATTATTATTATCATGCAAGATGGGCAACACATGTTTCTCTTCACTTTCTCCATGCAAAATTGGTAAATTTGGATAGATTTTAGTGAACTAGGTCTCGGTTCAGACCTAAATTTTTTTTGAGCCTTTGGCCCAAATTAATAAAATCGTATCGATTTATATTGGTATTTTTAAGGATACAAACAGATACGTATCGTATCGTAGGATACATATCAATATATTGAAAGGTTTAGGATGCACTCTCTAATACGTATCGTTGGCGACCTGTATCGAGTCGTATCGTAGGATACTAACAACTATGATGGATATGTATACTAAAAAGTAAAATAATATATTAGAAACACAAAATATGATTGTCAAATCTCATATCGAAAACCTAATTTTTCGAATCATGTATCGCGTATCATATCGTGTCATAGGGTACGCTTTTTTCAAAAATATTAATAAAATAATAATTTTTTTAAAAAAATTAATATCATTTCAAAGATTAATTAAAGAATTTTGTGGTATTAGTGACTTTAAATTATGGTATTACATAATCAAAATTAATCACAAAACTAAGAATCTATATAATTTTCTCTTAACCATTAATATTATTTCCAAGATTAATGTCAATATCTATATCTCCACTTGTATTATTATTATCATACAAAATGGGTAACATATGTTCCTCTTCACTTTCTTCATGTAAAATAGATACATTTGGGCAGATTTTAGTGAACTGGGTTGAGTGACTCGGATCAAATCGAAATTTTTTTTGGGCCTTTGACCCAAATTAATAAAATTATATTGATATTTTTAAGGATATAAATAGATATATATAGTATTGTATGATACATATTAATATATCAAAAAGTTTAGGATACACTTTCTAATATATATTAATAATCTGTATCGAATCATATATAAGATAAGTATAGCGTACATTAGTTAAAGAATTAATTATTAGTTGTGAGAAAGCAAATTAATCCAATTCCATTAAATTAATAATGATATGGCCTTATAGACGCAGATATCCCGGAAGAAAGAAAAATAATGAAAAAAATTTTTTAAAAAAATATAAGAAATAGAGGGGACATATCTTCGAGTCATCGTCACGGTG